GTCTGGGTTGAAGTCGCTATCAAGATACCGCGCCACAGAGGTGAGGAGGGAAATCAGGTTTATATAGGTGTCCTACGTTACACCGCGCCGCTCCTCCATTCGATGTGGCTGGCTGCGCCGGGACCTATCCGCTTGGATGGCGGCCGCTCACCTCATCGGCTAACCAGACGATGATAGATCAATCGGCCGCTGATCTGATATTCGGCCGGTAACGCGAGTCTATATGTTTGTTTTCTCCTGTTGTTGGTATTCAAGACTTCCTTTCAATTGAGCCTTCTGGAACGAAATGCTCACACGGGAACTCTTTCCGACTCATCGCGGAGATGGACACTCCTCAAATTCAACACCACCACTCAAGCATATCCAGCTAAAAAGAGCATATATACCTCGAAGTTCGGGTGCCCTTCGACACTGACGGAGCCGTACTTCTGAACAGTTAAACAAAAGAAAAATCAGTTTCGACCCGGTCCTTCGGCGTACCAGAGGGGCAGAGAAACAATGTTCGACAATACGATCTACACGTCTAGTTCACGTTATGTTTTATGGATACAACCCGGTCGTCACTATTTGCGTCGCTAATGAAAAGTAGGCTAATAATGGCCATGTGCAAGACGTCTAGATGCGCGCCAAAGGCCTCGAACCAACCTCGCAACCTTGGACATATCTCTGTATGAGTAGTCTGAGTTCCTCAAACGCTGACTACAGTCTCGATAACTAGTTCTGCATCATCATACATTCCGACTGCGGCTCAACTGAAACAAGTCGACATCAAAACATGCTCTCAAACCTTTCTGCCAACTGTTTGTTTATCGAACTTCAGTCAGTCACTCACGCAACGGCCAGCCTTCGAGTAACACTGGGTATCCAGACACCACCTCGATCACGGACGTATACGTAGGTCAAACAGAGTCAAGCCACGAGAGATCCTTGATAGACCTCTACACCTGAGAGTCCCTGGCCTCACCAATATGGATCAGATATTGAGGGTCGTGCTGTGAGTCCCTGTCAAATTTGGCTGCGATTTCTCAGCATTATTCGAAAGTTCGTTGTTCAGATGGACACTCTGACAACCAACCGCCAACTGGCCTGGGTTGCAAACACCATGCAAAAGATTGGACGACGGTGTCGCTCATTGATTAAAAGTTCAGGGATGGGAACAATATCTTGGACACCTTTGGCCACTACTACAGACCCCACGATGGTAGCGGACTGAAGACCAAGATGCGCCCCAACAAGGACACTTCGCGCCAGGTTTGAACCCTATCTCATATGATAATGAAATTGAGAACGATGTCTTTAATGGTGTTGGTGCTCCTAGTAAGACTCACTGCTAGACACACATCACCCGGTTCGCCCTCACAAGGTAACAACCTTCCTCGTCTCCCCTAAACTCAATTATCGCAATATGATGGACTAATAATACCATTCCGGCCGGGACAGTCGCCGCGCAAGATAATCCTTGGAAAAGGCATGTGCAGCAGTCCGAGACAGCCGCGAGGTCACATCTTCGGCACTGCATTCTACGTGGAAAGGCGAAGCGGCTACCTGGCCGAGACGTAAAAATTCAAAAGCGTATACGGCCAAGAAGAAGTAGGAGAAGAAGCGAGAAGGAAACGTGTTTAGGAAAGGACGTTCTGTGATATATGATCTGATGAGGAGTCATCTAACCCAGACACAGATGAAGTGCGGAGGTTGGTGAGAGGCGGTTAGGTAAGTACAACTTGAAGTCCTAGGTAGAGTTCTTGATACTAAACGAGTGCGATGTAGGTACATATATGGATCCGTTCAATGTTCAAGGTGTGCTTTCCCCAAGGCAGTGTCCGCCAGACTATGCTATTCTCCGGAGGCTGGCTATGTAGACACTCTCAAATCGCGGCAGGCAACCCTCGTTCAACGCCATTGACAATGTTTTCATTCCCTTATGAGAGCGCTCATATACTTAATCATTCACCATCGATCCCAGCCGAGGTGGTGCATGCTCCTTGTGCGTGCTTCCAGGACATCATAGGATCGACTTTGAGCAAGCCTGACAAGGCATGCGAGCAAGTGGAGCGGGCAGTCTAATATTCCCCGTTATCATGTAAAGAGATGAGGTATAGTTAAGTCTAATATGTTGGAATGACAAAGGTCACGATTGTTGAGCTTTCAAAATACGCATTCCTGGCATTCAAGAACGAATAGGCCCCGGAACCCAACAAGCCGACCCGCAAATGCGGCTCACCACGTGTGTTTGATTAAGTCTAACCCATGTCCCAAATCTGAAGGGAGCTCGCGAATGAGATAATCTGCGCATTTGCTAACTTGTCTTTGTCTTTAGCTTCGTTTTACACTGTTGAAGCGGTGTTCGTAAGGTGCCGGAAGGCATCTCCGAAGCGAAGTTCGAGGGCCAAGCACCCACGGGAGGCGGCAGAAGGATAATAACCTTGCGCAATTTTTTATACTCGGCATTTGCTGTTCGAGAGAATTAAACATGCGGAATTTCTCCATTCCTGCCTTCCAGACGGCTTTGTGAAGTCCGGCCTATGCGGCCTTGAAGGCCTATGCAAATTCCTAAGGCCAGTTTGATGATGGCTGATCAGCTTTCCCAACTGACCGCGCCACTTAGGTCTTCCTTCGTATTCTTTCAAGCTTCTAATTCGGATCCTTCATCAGGGAACTTTACCCACCTAGGTTCCCATGCCTTTTTGGCTTCGTATTACCTCAGCGCGTGGTCATCGAACTGTCAACCCAACCTAACGAGACAGAGTACTATCGCGAGTCAGATCGAAACACTTATGTAAGTAAAGAAACCGATTCGACTGAGAAACCTCTCTAGCTCACAGTCACATCTAACTGTCATGAACGCAAAGCTCAAAGGTTGACTGTGCCGCGATGCAGACGCTCTCCTCACCTAACCGCTTGACCAACGCCGCGACATGTGTGGTGGGTGTTTGCTCGTATATATGCTGACCACATAACAGTTGATCCTCACCTGTCACCCTTGGGACAAAATGCAATTTCGTTCCCGTTCCATTTCCGTCACCTTCGATATTACATACAGCGTTATTACTATCAAGTAATAGTACGTGCCGCCTATTCTCGATGATCGCCAGCCCTACCGTGGTAAGACTAAGAATTGAATGTGGTAACGTCACAGACATAAAGCGGGGGCATTTCTATAAGGCTTTCTAAAAGAAAACCCACCGCTTTCCTCAAAAATAGAACGATCGGTATGTCAGAAGAATATCACGAAGTGGATCAAAAAAGCATCTCGCTCAAAAACCACCAATATGACGAGATTCCAAGGCAGCCACAAGCTGGGCGTTGCTGGATAAATACGAGCAAAAGCGGAGTTTTGAGCCGTCGGGAAAAGGTGAGTAAAAGGAGCTGCTTTTCCTGCGCTGCTCAGTCCGACGGTACTCCGGGTGGTCGGCAACAGACTGTTTGCCGGCGCCAAGGGAGGAGTTGAACGGTGTGAAGGAACTTCCAGAAAAGGGAGGAAAGAACCGATGACTGATGATGGTGAGCGTACTGTACCAAGCAGGCCCTCACTCAACAGGATTGGAAGCGAAGGAGCCAAGCCGAGCCAACTGCATCGGCACCGGCGTTCCGACCATTCAACCAGTCACGTTCGGAAGGTTCCTGCGACTCAATGGCCTCGATAGTCAAAGCCAACCGGGCCGGACAAGAAAGCGAGCGAGAGACAGAGGCCCTGGGACAGCTGGAGTGCGAGCGAACAAAGGACTTTTTTTTTCGATACTCATCCAATCACATATTTCTCCAGGTCTGAATGGCACCCTTTGTTCGGGCCTCGTAGTTACGTACCACATCGACTTTGTTCTTCCTGCTTCAATGATTCCCAACGCAACTGCATGGCGTTTTGTCTTGGCTTTTGCGCGCTGACAACCATTCAACATGCGTCTCTGACAGTTTTTCCGGGGAAAAAAGGGGCATTGTTGCACCACATCGACATGACAACTCATGATCGTTTGCAAATCGCTTCCCACCCCTAAGAACGGTGTGGAAAGGGACACTACTCTGACCTGTGTAACTCGTATTATCTGCGTCGCCCGAGATTCGTTCGCTTAGGTAGTCGAGCATTCTCGCTTTTATACGTGTACGGGTTTGAACGTCGGTCTGAATTAAGACACGAGAGAGAGAAAAAAGAGGAGGATGTGAGAACAACACCATTGTCACCCTGTTCGTCATCATCATCACCATCACCATCATGATCACCTTCCCCACACCCATATGTATCAACAAAAGTGTAAGCATGGGGTTTTCCCCACACAAGATGATGGTCCCAAGAAAACCCATCGTCAAAAGGGAAGGAGGATGATAACCCAGCACCGAGGTCAGGCGCCTTTCCGTGGGCGGCTACTTGGCAGACAAAACGTCACCGGAAGAACTCCACTGGCGAGCACTGTCTAGATCACGCACCATCGGTCCCAAGCTCGAGCCAAGCCCCTCTCTAGCGTGGAGAGCGGGTATCTGGCCGATTAACCGATGCTCACGATGGCCGCAAGGACTGGCCGGCACTGGGTGCAAAGGACAGGCCGGAGAACTGCGAGGACGGGTACCAGCTTGGGATGGCAGGTGGAAAAGGTTGCAGTAGCTCCCAAAAGGTAGCTCGCAATGGGCTCGGCACTCTGCGTTCACGAACCCTTGTTTATTGTAGAATGGCAGCAATACAGGGGTATTGAGAATGAGGGTGCAGAGTGTGTATTGTGTAGAATCTGTTCTGTGACCAGGAAAATCCCGCACACAAAAATTAGGGTTTTGCCCAGCAATCTAAATTATATAAGAAAGGCGGTGGCAAGAAACCCACCCCTATATCTAATACACCCCCCCAATTACATTAGCGTATGCTAGAAAGCTAGTCAAAGGCGCCTAAATGAAGCTATTCCTAGATTTTATACCCTCAAAGTTGATAAATCCCCAAATAGTCGCCTTTAAAGGTATCGCTTATTAATTGTATTATATTTAGAAGGTCCGTAATATTAATTTTCAATAATTAGCCGGGCGCTATAGTTTAATAATTAAAGCGTTAAAGTCCTATATTAAATAACCGTATAATATTTTTAAATTATATTTAATAGTATACTCCTTAGATTATCTTTAATAATTATTTTTAAAGGTCGCGGGTTTAAATCCCGTCGGCGCTAAACTTTTTACCTTTTTTCCTTTTTATAAATATTATATAGGATCCCTTCATTTTATAAAAGTTATTTTAGTAAAATAATATAAATTGATAATTACCTATAATAATACTATCTTTCCTTTTTACTTCTTTAAAATATTCTATCCCCGCCGGAATTAAATTATTAATATACTTACGTTAATTAATTTTAATACCCTTTCCTTCTCCTTCCTTAAATTTAAAATATTTATAAAACCTATTTAGCGAATAAATTCTTTATACTTCTCTACGGTTAATACCTTCGTTAGCCCGTCGGCGATTATTTTAATTATAAGTACGTAATATATATTAAATATACCGCGCTATTATCCCTCTCGGAATTAATAATTATAAATATTAATATATTTAAATTTAATTTAAAGTTTAGCGTTTTCTTTAATAACTAAGCGGATTATTTAAGCGTTATTACATTTTAATAGGATATTCTTATCGTTAATTCCTAAATTGAAAGTTAGTAAATCGAATAAACGTTTTACTTATAAACTTTTATAAACCCTTTATAATAAAGATAATAATTCAATTTCGGTAATAAAGGTAATAATAGTATTTTATTTATTAATTCGCTAATTAACGGTTTTACTTAATAATTATATAGCGAATCCTTATAAATTTCGTCAATTTAGAGTATTATCGGTATAAGAGGCGTTAATTAAGATTAAAAATAAATTACCACCCTTCAATTAGAGTGCGTAGTCTTCGGTACCTTTAAGGTAGGCGAGTAATTGGTTGGCGGTAACGTAATAAATATTATTAAAATTAATAAGGAAATAGAATAATTTAAAGCCAATAAAAGCGTTATTAGGTTTAATAATAATTAGCGCGTATATAATTTCGTTAATTATTTTTTAATATATTTTAACGGATTTAAAGTTAATAGTACTTTTAAAAGGGAAGAGTTCTTTAATATTTATAAGAGTTTAGGGAAACGACCGGGACTATTAAAGCTTTTTTATAATCTTTTTAATATATTCGCGTTAAAATAATTAAATTAACCGTTTTATTCAATTTCGAATAACCTTAATACTTAAAAATTATTAAATATTATTACCGCCCGTTAATTAATAATAACCTTCTAGAACGTTAATAATTTTAATAATATTATATTTATTTTCGTTTCGGTAAATAAGAATAATATTATCGACGTAGAAGAAGACTATTATATTTTAATAAATGAATATATAAGGTTCTATAAGGATAGGGATTAAATTAATAATAATAAAAGTTTTAGTAAATTCGTATTATTATAATAAGGGGGAGCGCTAAAAATTATAGAGGGCGCGTAATAACCTAATAACTTTACTTTATTAGGTATATCCTAATAATATTCGTATATAAATAAATTTATTAAGAAGGGTATTAACGAAAGCGTTAATAATATTATATTATTTAAATTCGAAATTAAAGTAACCCATAATAGCTATTATAATATAGAAAGTGCGAATCGCTAAAATAGCCGCGTAAATATCCTATAAATTTTAAAGTTATTAGTCTCCTTTTATAATAAAGTATATTTTATTTTTAAAATAATAACCCGCCGTATTAAATTTATAAATATATACCTATATAAAATCGAAGGGGATAATTTTTTAATACTCTTCTTAATTTATTTACTTCTATAATCCTTTTATATCGTAATTTTAAAAATATTCCCTTTTAATTTAACGAAATATTTTTTAAAAAAGATAGAAGTAAAAGTCTCAATAACTTTTAAATAGAGGGGAGAACTCTTAACGGTATAAAGTATTTAATATATTTAATATATTATACTTTTTAACGTTATCGATAATAAATTTCGAATTTATATAGAAATCGTCGTTATCGATTTCTAACCCGAATTTCTTTAATTAATCCAAATTAATACGATCGATAACGCGACTATTATATATACTAATTTAATAGAGATTAAGCGTATTTAGGAAGGATATTATTTAATATAGATATTAATCCGTTCGGGGGAAGTGGGTAGGAGGTTATATTGAAAGGACGCGGTTTAAATTCCTAATAAAAAACGAAGTTAAATTATTAAAGGGAGTCGGTAGATTATAATTAATTAATTTATCCGTTTTATTTATTACCGTATCCTATTAATTATTTAATCGCTTTAATATTTAGGGACGTAATATTTCCTCCTCTTATTTATATATATACTTAGTAAGCTCAATAGGGATCGTAGGGGTTTTTAATTCCATAGGTATAAATTCGATAATTAAATTAAAATTATTTAACTCGTCGTCGGTATAATTCTTTAAAATTAAGAAAGGTATAATAGAATCGTCTTCTAATTAATAGAAATTATTTAATTATATGGCCAATTCTTTTAGGGAGATTTTAAACGAATTTTAGAATTTCTCGATATTATTTATAAAAACCTCGTTTTTATTAAAGACTACGTTTCTAATTATTATAATCGAATTGGTATAAGGATTCTAAATTCGGTAAATATTTAACAATTAGTAACCAATTAGGTAATTAACTTAAATACATTTTTTAAACTTCCTAATTTTATTATAACCGTATAGGATTTCTATTATAAACGCAAAAGCTTTATAACTATAAACTTTTAAATATATTAAAGTAAGGACTATTTTTTACTAGCCGCCGTTATAATTTATTATATAGGCTTTAAAACGTTCCTTTAGGGTTTTCTAATTAAAATTATATTTAAGAATTTTATTAAGAAAGTAAATTATAGCCGCTATAATTTCTCTCTAGAATTCTTTTAAAAGGTTTATAAATTCTTTTATAATTTTAATTTTTTCGTTAAATATACCCCCCGAACGCTTAGCGCCGTTATTTTATATTTAAATATATAGCGTAGAAGGCTCGACCTTAATACCCTATTATAATAAAAAGGTAACGACTTTAAATTTAATTATTATAATTTCGTTATTATATTCGATTACTTATACCTAAATTTAATATTAGGTCTTCAAGCTAATAATAAAAGAAAATAAAACTACGATAATAAAATCGGCAATTTTTTTAGTAAAATAATATACCTAAAGGTAATTAAACTAGCGGTTAATTACTATTATTAATATAAAAATCCAACTAAACTTTGCTTTTATTAGAATATATTCGAAAAAGTTAATAGCTACCCTTTATTCTAATCCTTTAAATACAACGCGGATAGCCTTCCCAATTTAACGTTTTAATTTAACTACTATATACGTATTATAATATATTAGATTTAAACCCTTAAAACGTACGCTATATTCCTTATTAATTAATTAAATAAAGGTCTCGGGTTTAGGGTAATTAAATCTAAAATATTAACGTAAGGTATTTCCCTCTTAAAATTTCTTAGCGGTCTTACTCTAAGGAATTCGAACGTTAAAAAAGGATTGGTTAACGTTATTTTTAGAATTAAGAGGGATATATTTAAAAATAAACTATTAGAAATAATTAGAAATAGAATAATAATAGGAAAGATCGGGGGCGCGAATACAAAAATTAATAATATCCTAGGAGTAATCGAATTCTATAAACTTTTAAAGAGATACGAAATTATAAATTATATTTAGAATTAATATTACATCGTTTAAACGAAGTTTAAAAAAATTATTTTTATTATCGTTAATTAGAATATAAATAATCCCGTATCCTTTAATTACTAATAAACCGTTATTAACCTAAACGTAATCTCCTTTATTTATAGGGGTAAAGTTTTTAAAACGGTTAACTTCGTTAAAAATATAAATTGTCGTATTTGAATTAAAAATAACTAAATCTCTTAATAGGTATACGGGAACTTCTTATCGAAATTTTAATATTAAGAAATTAAATTAATAATTAATTTTATTAATCTTTTAATTTTTAAATTAGAATTTACTACTAAAGGTATTAGTTGTAAATTTTATTGGCCTTTTAATAGGAATTTATTACGTTAATACGGTTCTAGTATTTAATTTACGGAACCTTTACGTAAATTAAGTATTCTTTTAATAATTTTCGTTAATTATATTTTAAATACGTTAATTAGGAATTTAATTAGAATTAGGCGCTAAAGAAGGGATTATATATTAATACTTATTATAAAAGTAATTAAATTTTTCGTAGATTTTGTAAATTCGCTTTTAACGTTTATTATTTTAATTATTAATACTTTGGTTACGCTTCCTACCGGTATTACTAAAAGCGTTTTCCGTAATTCGACTATTAAATATAGGGGTAGGAAATATACCGCCTTTTAAGATTTAGTTATACAATTTTCTAAAGTAGTAATCGTAGACCCGTTCTTTAAAATTGTAGGCTAAATTAAAATAAATAAAATTATTATTTAGGAGTTTTTTATCCGTAATTTTGAAGGATATAGCCTAATTTTTAAAAAGGGAATTATTAAATCTATTTACTATATTAAAAAAATCGGTTTTCTATACTTTAGGGTTAATATATTTATCGACTTTAAAATATTTACCGATAATTATAATATATTCTTATTCCTATAATTAATTAATTTAATTACGGGGATAAATCGTAATATTAATCTTATTATAATAATTAGCGTAAATATCGTTATAAACTTATTCCTTATCGAATTAAACGTTAGATTTTATTATATTATATTAAGCGGATAGGGAAGTAATTCTTTTAAAGTAGGTTAATTAAAAATATTAATTAATATTATTTTTTATTTAGGTACGAAGGGTAATAATCTTTTTTTTATAAATTTCTTAGATTTTTTTATTATAATAGTAATTAATTATAATTTCCTAATAATTATAATAATTGCGTTTAATTAAGAAACCGTAATAGCGCGCCGCGTATAAAATTAGAATTAAAATTAGGGCGATAGGAAAAATTAGGGCCCTAATAATTAATTAAATAACGGCGGTACTAATAAACGTAAACGCGGTCGCTTTTTATTAGGAAGAAAGTGGTATCGAAGTATAATTACGCGTTTTCGAAAAGGGTCCGCTAACCGTTTAATTTTCTTTAATAAATTGAAAAATTTCTTACTAAAAT